CATGAGCACCTGTTAGCTCGCTTCGACGAGCTTAAGTTTATTTTTTTAAAATGTATATACTCTGTCCAAATGTCCTTAACACCACGTACATATATATAACAAGATACAATAAAGAAGAGAAGAGAAAAAGAAAAAGAATAACAACCACAAAGAGATAGAGAGAGAGAGATGGAAAAGCATCTAGGGGCAGGAATGAGGGTGAATCACCGCTAACATTCCTCCCCTCTCCTATTAGATGTGTGTCCTCACACATAAATACTATGTTAATCAATTTCTCCGAGAAGTCGAATATGTTGATCTTTGTTTGATGGATTCGTTTTTGAATTTCCATCGTCTTGTATTAATACTTTCACGTAATAAAAATTCATTAAACATGTACATGTATATAATTGTAATAATGAGCAATAGAGTTTTTATAAATTATGGTATAAGAATAAATTAATTGAACATATTCTCATGATTGTTTAATACATTAAATAATAGATCGATCTAATAAATAAATAAATTATTCAATAAGTTTTCCATTAATAGTAATAAATTATTATCAATATTAATAATTTGTGTTTCATGCTTATCATTAAAATTTGTTTCTTATATGTGTTAAGTTTTCTAATCAACGAAAATGTGTTACTGGTAAAGCATGTTCATATAGTTGTTCAAATATATAATGTATATCATCAATATGAGAACCAAGTGAATATGATTTTAATCTGTAATAGTTGTTCAAATAATAAATCATAAAAGATCGTAATGATGTTGAATTTTTTGTAAACAAATGTACTAATACATGTGTCTATTGTTGTAAGTTTTCTTCACGTAAACGGTGATGTGTATGTGTGTATTATATAGAAAATTTAATGCTAATTTTGTACATCATTCATATGACGTTCCATCATTATCATTTTTAATCATTTCGACATTATATCGTATATTCGTATAGGCAAAAAATATTTTGATAAATTATATATGAATTGAACATAATCTGTATATTTAATTTATGTGACATTTGTTCATCAATACCAGTTGAATATTCAATATTATCATTAATAAAAAAATTTAAATCAATAGGGATGAGAATAGTTGTAAACCGATTTTTAAATTAATAAAAATGTGTTGATAAAAATAAGTTATTTGTTTTGTTGTTGTTCCTGTTTTTGTTTTTGTTTTTATTTGTTCGTCGTTGTTTTGTTAAGTGATGTTGACTATCTTTGATGCGGTAGATGTGTATTTATCATGTTCTTGTTTCGATATTAGTAAAGTTGTTAACTCGTATCATGTGCATCAATCTCTGCACCATACAGTCCGCGCCACGGTTTAAGTACATCGATTATCATGCATTATGATTGAATAATATATCATTTTGTATTAAGTGATAGGAAAAAATTATGTTCGAGCTCGACAGCCCTTCCTTGTCAGTGAGAAGGTGAAATTCTGTCTCTCCGGCATGGATTGCTGAATCAAACCCAAGTATTTTCACTCAATTATAAATGATTGTTTGTTTTTTTACTTTACTAAATTATACCATCTTATTTCACATCTTTCCCTCTTGTGGGATGTGTTTATTGAATTAAATTCCATCGTTCCACCAATGGAATGATAACGTCCATCGTCACTTGTCTTGTTAATGCTAATTTCTTGACATGTTGGACAATAAATGTTTTGCTCCCTAATTGTTTAATAATTTTAAATGGATCTTCATATCGTATATCAAAGTTGTTTCTAACATTTTTTGTTTTTGCTAAAACTAAATCATTGGCTTTTAATACTAAATCTCGTCTGTGTAAATCATATTGAGCCTTATATTGTTGATTTTTTATAATATTATTCCGAGCTTCATTTACTAATTTTTCAAGATATGTTCTAATTTTTTGACTATACTCTGGATCTTGTGTGAGCGAAATAATTTCATATTGTTGATCGAATGGAAGAGTGGCTTGTCGTCCATGCATCATTTCAAATGGTGTTTGCTTTATTGTTGCATGTATTGATGCATTATAATTGAATGTAACAAATTGTAATACTTCATCACAGTTTGTACGTCGTTCATTACATAAAGCGGAGATTTTTCCACCCATTGTAGCATTAAATCGTTCGATTTGTCCATTTGTCTGTGGATGATACTCTGTGGAGTATAAATGAGTAATTCCAAGACTTTCAAATAATTTGTTCATAAGTTGAGAAGTAAAATGAGTGCCATTATCAGTTAGAATACATGTTGAGGTTCCATATTTTAATATAACATCATTAATAAGAAATTTCACTGCTGTTGTTGCTGAACAATCTCGAACAGCTTTTGTAATAACAAACTTTGATAATACATCTGTTAGAGATAAGATGTATCAGTTTCCTTGTCTTGATGCTAGAGTTATTGGACCATGACAATCCATACTTAATAATTTCCATATTCCTTTAGGTGGTGGTATTGGTTTTAATTTTCCTGATAATTTTTGACGACGATAATTGTTTTGCGCACATGGTAAGCATGACTTTAAGTGATTTCTAATATCAGCTATCATCGTTGGCCAGTAATAACGCTCTTGAATTTTCCTTATTGTTTTATCACGTCTAAAATGAGCTCCATTAGCAGGTGTATCATGATAAATTTTTAATATATCAGCACGTATTCGTCCTTCTGGAACGTATGGCACTGGTGAAAGTGTTGGTTGCTGCCTTCTAAATAATATTCCATTTTCCATAAAACAATGTTTTTTTATTCTTAACATTCTTGTTTATTTCTTGTATTGTCTTGTCTTGTTCTTGACATTTCCTTAAGTCATCCATATCAAATGGTATGATCTGATTTGGATTTTCATCTGATAGCTTTGCTATCGATTCTTTATCAATTGCTACTTTCCATTGTGGGATGAGCTCATCTATTTTATCATCTGTTGATGTAATCGATGATGTTGTCATTGGTTGTTGTTGCAATTTGGCTTGAGCTCTAGTAATTGCCGTTGTTATTTTTAATAGAATTAAATTATTATTTGATGATGAAAATGATAAATCTGTTTGTGTTGATGTTGATTCATATTGAGTTCGTTCCTCCATATCTTCTTCAGCTATTTCGACTGGTGATCTTGAAAGATAATCTGCCATATTGTTCTTCTTGTCTTGGATGTGTTTCACCTTGTATCGATATTCAGCTAATTTTAGTCGCCATCGTTCACATCTTTTATTTAATTGTTCTTTGTTTGCAAAATGAACTAATGGTTCATGATCAGTTTCTAATATAAATTCATGTCCACGAAGATATTTGTCCCATTTTTCTATTGCTTGTACTATTGCATAACATTCTTGTTCGATTGTTGGCCAATTAGTTTGTGTTTTTGTTAATTTCTTTGACATGTATGCTAATGGTCGATCACCATTGGGAGTAATTTGTAATAGAACAGTGCCAATTCCATCTCCAGAAGCATCAGTTTGTAATTTAAATGGTAATGTATCATCAGATAAATCAAGAGTAAGATCAATTGTTAAGATTTTCTTGAGTTCGTGAAATGCTGTTCTGGCTTCAGCAGATAATTCAAATTTCCCTTTTTTATTAATATTTTGTTGTTGTATTATTGCTGGAGAATATTTATGTAGTAGTGCAGCAATGGTAGAGAATTTTGGAATAAATTTTCTATAATATTCTGTTGCTTTGACTAATCTGAATGCTTCTTCAGCTGATATTGGTTCTCGTCTATCAGCCAAACCACGAATGTTGTTCGGATCAGGTTTAATAGTACCGACTTTAATTACATGTCCAAGAAATAATATTTCTGTTCTTGCGACTTCACATTTTTCAATATTTAATTTAAAATTTGCTTCCTGTAATAATGAACATACTTCTTCAATATGTTTTAAGTGTTCATTAAAATTTTTTGAGTAAATAATAATATCATCAATATAGACGAGTACATGTTTCCATCTATTTGGATCTAATATTTGATTAACAATACGTTGAAATGTTGGTGGTCCATTAGTAAGGCCTTGTGGTAATACTCTAAATTGAAAACATTCATCTCGAGTTGAAAATGCTGTTTTTGGTCGATCTGCTTTGTCTAATGGCACTTGAAAATAACCTTCTTTGAAATCGAATTTTGTAAAATATGTTGCTTTGGTTAATTGGTCATAAATATCATCAATTATTGGTAGAGGAAAAGCATCTTTTGTTGTAATTTGGTTTAAATGACGATAATCGATGCAAAATCTTGTTGTTCCATCCTTCTTTTTAACTAATACGACTGGTGAAGACCATGGAGATGTTGAATGTGCAATAATTCCATTTTTTAATAATTTTTCTGTTTCTTTCCTTAAGATTTCTTGGTCTTTGTTGGATTTTCTATATGGTGGAGTGTGAATTGGCCGATGTGAACCAGTATTGATAGCATTTTTTAAAACAATGTTAATTTTTGATGATTTTCTAATGTCAAATAATTTTTCATATTTCCATAAAATTTTAAAAATTTGTTCTCGCTGTTTACCATCACTAATATGTTCGGTTAATTTGTTTATTTGTTGTATAATTTCTTCAGGATAACATTTGTTTCTAAGGTGTTCAAATAACTCATTGGCAGTATTAAAATTTCGATAACATTCACGACATTGATGTTATTTCCCATGTAATGTTGTAGTCAGCATATTATTAAAATTTAATTTATTTGATTTATTCGCTCCTTTGCCTTCAGGAATGAGCTCTTTACACGCTTTTCCTTCCGGAATGCGTTCTGTTAAATAATTTGATGGCATGGTGACACCAATTGTAGAAGGTAATTGTGTAACTATACATAATTTGGTTCCTTCGGAAAGCGTTTGTTGTCGATTCGTTGCATTAATTATACTAATTTTTATTGTTCTATCTTCAATATTGAGTAATGTATTAGCAGTAAATAATGCTTTATTCTTTAATCGAGGATTTGGTTCAAATAATACATCAGTCATATTGTTGGGTTAGACGGTTGCTTCTACTATTTTTTCTGAAAAGGGAGGGAGAGTAATATAATTAATAAGAGTAGCTGGATAATGTAGGAGAGGTGGTTTTACAAAAGGAGTTGATACTTCTTTACCTCGATTTTGGATCATAATTTATTGTTCAGATGTAAGAATAAACGTTATTTAATTGAATCCAATCACTACCTAATATTAAATTTGTAGCAAGATTTGTTGTAACATCAGCAATAACTGTTGTTTTTATGCCATTAACATTTATTTCTAAGGATATCTCACCAATAATATTTAATGTTGAGCAATTTGCAGATAAATGATTTATTGTTTTTGGCATTAATTTTTCATGTGATATCATCATCATCATCATCATTTAGCAACCATTTGCCGTCCACTGTTGGACGAAGGTCTCTCCCATGTTTTCCCATTTATCTCTATTTTGTGCCACAGTGCTCCAGCCATTTCCTAGGAATGAACGAATTTCATCTCTCCATCTCGTGGATTGTCTTCCGGGTTTTCTTTTCCCGTCCATTATTTGCCATTCTGTGGTGAGCTTGGTCCATCTATTGTCTTGTTGCCTGGCAACATGTCCTGCCCATCTCCACTTGTTTCTTTTTATTGTTCTTATTATGTCGATAACTTTTGTTTGTTTTCTGATGTGTTCGTTTCTAATTTTATCTATTTTTCTTATGTTCAGCATACTTCTTTCCATTCCTCGTTGATTGATTGCAAGTTTTTCTCTAATCTTTGTGTCGTGTTCCATGTCTCTGATCCATATGTCATTACTGGAAGTATGCATTGGTCGTATGCTTTCTTTTTTAGACACAGAGGAATGTCCGCTTTAAATATTTTGTTCAATTTTCCAAACTGTCTCCAACCTTGTGATATTCTTCTGTTTATTTCTGTTTCAATATTTCTATTTGTTTTTATCATTTGACCCAAATAGACGAAATTGTTGATTTTCTCAATCTCTTGGTTGTTCAGTTGAATTTTTCTATCGTCTTCTATATGATTATTGATCATAATTTTTGTTTTATCGATGTTGATGTTTAGGCCGGATTTTATACTTTCTTTTCGAAGTTCATCCATCATCGTTTGTAAGGTTTCCACGTTGTTTGCGAAGAGAACAATGTCATCGGCAAATTTTAGGTTATTTAGGTATTCTCCACATATTTTAATCCCCTTTCCATCCCAGTTTAGTCGCCTGAATATATCTTCGAGACATGTAATGAAGAGGATCGGAGACATCGTATCACCTTGTCTTATTCCTCTATTTATGTTTATATCGATTTTGATATTATGAAGAGTTATAGAAGTCTTAGCATTATCGTATATGTATTTAATTAGATCGATGTATTGCCTTTCGATATGTTGATTTTCTAAGGCTTCAATGATCGCTGATTTTTCTAGAGTATCAAATGCCTTTTCAAAGTCGATGAATGCCATGCATAGTGGCAGATTGAATTCTTTTGTTTTTTCTAGGATTTGATTTAGCGTGTGAATATGGTCTATTGTAGAGAAGCCTTTTTTAAAACCTGCTTGTTCTCTATCTTCTACCTTTTCTAATTTTATCTTTAACCTGTTGGTTAGAATTTTGGTAAATAGTTTATAGAGATGTGAGAGGAGACGAATTGGTCTATAGTTTTTTAGATCAGTGCGATCTCCTTTTTTGTATATGAGGATGGTGTTTGCATTATTCCATTCTTGTGGTGTTTTCTTTTCTTTTAAGCATTTGTTAAAAAGTACTTGAATAATTTTTAGGACAGTTATTCCTCCATTTTTTATCATGTCAGTAGTTATACTGTCTGGACCTGGAGTCTTATTATTGGGCATTGATTTAAGTGCCATTTCTATTTCTCCTAGTATTATATTAGGAACATCATCTTCATGATCATAGTTATTTTGTGGTTTGTTTATCTTGTTTGTTGTTTTTGTGTCGTATAGGTCTTCATAGAATTCTTTGATTCTATTATTCATTTGATGTCTGTCATATAGGATATTTCCATTTTTATCTTTTAAGGAAATTATTTGGTTTTGCCCAGGTGACATGTTTTTGAAAGTTCTTTTTAGGCTTTTGTTACTTTCAATTGTATTTTGGATTATTCTTGTGTTGTGACTTCTTTTTTCTATTCGTAGGTTTTCCTTTATCGTTTTGTTTAGTTCGATGAACTCTATATGGTTTGTATTGACATTTAATTTTGTGCTTTTTTCAATTAGTTTTTGTGTTGTAGGAGATATTTTAAAATTATTTTGATTTAAATGTGGTTCCTTTGCAAGTTTTTCTGCAGTATCAACAATTATTTTTGTTAGAGTTTCATTTATTTCATCTATACTCGTTTCGTTGAGGTTGATTTGTGTTTTTATCATTTGATCAATCTTTGTTTCAAATTATTTTTGTTTTGTTGTGAGTATGTCATTATTTATTTGTAGTTTCTTTTTAAGGATTAATTTTCTTCTTTCATTTTTAGTATTAATCCTTATTTTACCTCTAACCATTCTATGATCACTTCCTGTTTTGATTGAATTTAGAACTTCGACATTTTTGAAGATATTCATTTTATTGGTTAGGATAAAATCAATTTCATTTTTCACACAGTTATTTGGTCCTTTCCAGGTCCATTTTCTATGGGCTTTTTTGTAGAAGAAACTGTTTGTTATTTGTAGGTTGTTTTTGAGGGCAAAGTCAATTAGCATTCTCCCTCTATCGTTTCGATCTCCTACTCCAAAATTGCCCATAGCTGTTTCTTTATTATCTTCCTTCTTTCCTATTTTTGCGTTAAAATCACCCATTATTATGGTGAAATAGGTTTTTTCTTCTTTTAATAAGGTTTCGATTTGTTGATAGATTTCGATGACTTCTTGATCATCATAGCTTGTTGTTGGTGCATATATCTGGACTATTTTCATTTTATATCTTTGATTTATTTTCAAAGTTAATTGGGCTAATCTTTCATTTATACCTTTTATACTTATTACTTTTTCTTCAAGTTTCTTGTGTATCAAAAATCCTACGCCATGTTTGTTGTTATTGGCGTTTCCAGATGTATAGAGTGTATGACCATTTTTTAATTTAGTTAGATGTTCACCTTTACATTTTGTTTCACTCAAACCAATAATATCCCATCTTATTTTTGATATTTCTTCTTCGAATTCTTTTCTTTTCTCTTCTTCCCTAAATGTTCTTATGTTGTAAGTACAGATATGCATATTTACAAAGCTTGGAGCTTTGTAGTTTGGTTTGTTGTTTTTTTTGGGTTGGCACCTGTAGCCTATTTATCATTTGTGACCCACTGCCGAAATCACAAACGCGGTCCTTGTTTGTCCGGGCGACGACCGAGCCGGCATCAATATTAAGTTTATGTACTTTCATGGGGGGTTTTGTAGCCGATAAAACACCACGCTGGCTAGACGGGTTGGTGAGTGTTTGTCATCTGAGTTTTCTCTCTTAGATGAGCTGCCTACCATGGCTGAGAGCCTCATCTGCCCTTGGTTTAAAGTCAGAGTTTACCTTCTCTTAGGTGAACTACCAGTCGAGGCTAAAGAGCTCCACCTACCCTGGCTAAGGCTTATGAAAACTTGGTTCGGGTGAACCTTGCTTCTGACGGCTTTTACTCGCCGTATCATCTTGTCGTCTTTGGGTTTCTGTAGCATTTTATAGGGGTTTTGATGCCATCCAAAACTCCACTACACCCTGTTAGCAAGAGGCTAAATTGTCCGGGACTGCTTATTTGAGCAATTGCTTGTTCTTATTCGCAGCTAACCATCTTACTAATGGCCGTTCCACTATCCGCAACCTGTGGACCCGCTTGGTAGCGATTAGCTTGGCCCCAAGTCATGTGATATATCATTTAATAAATGTTGATGTATAATAGTGATGGTCGATCCGGTATCGATGAGTGCTTTTTGTAGAGTGTTGTTGCATAAAATTTCGACAAAAATTGGGGCAAATGTTGTTTTAGTTGATGACTTTTTGGCTCCACGCCCTAGAGAAAGTACTGAGTTCAGGGTACCCATGTACTGAGAAAGGCCTAGCAGGGTACCCAATATGGGTACTTCAAAAATTCTTAGTAATTATACTAATGTAGGTACTGAGTGTGGTTCCTATAAAAGTACGCTCACTTAAGAAGTACTTGTATGGGTACTCGCATCTGTAATTTTACTGAGGCAAGCTATACAGGGTACCCTATATTTGTCGCATTCTGTGTAGCGACTATTCATTCACCGTTTTGTTTTTCACGCACGGCTCCATATAAACAACTGAGTAAGACATAAGAAATTAATCTATTTTCATACTAATTTTTTCTAGATTATTTCTTGACTATTTCTTAGTCGAGAACATGTCGATCTTGATCGTAGATTAAGAGCGGACTACTCCGAAGTGGTCTGATGGATACCTGATCAACTCAAGTCAGGTCAGATCCCGGGATTGTACCTGCTAAGTTTTCGGAATTGAAAAAATTAAATTGAATAAAATCGAAAAAAAATGTAGTAAATTGCTTTGAGAGAAACAGAAATTTAAAAAAGTTAAAGGTCAGGTTCGATCCTAAACATATTGAAATTTTTGTAACAGGGTACCTAGAAATACTATACAATAGTACCCAATTGAGTATCTGATCAGTACCTTCAAGTACCAAGTTATTACACATTTTGTAGCAGGGTACTTGTTAAAGTACCACTTAGGTACCTGAAAGTTTTTCGAAGTACTTTGGTACCCAAAAGTTTCTGTGACATACTGGTAACAGGATACTTTTTCGGGTACCCTTAACTCAGTACATTCTCTAGGGCAGGGATCGTCGCCATCATTCGATCCCTTTATTCGAAAAAATTTTGTTGAGGACAGTCACGTATTTGATGATTTGCCTGTCCAAATTTAAAACAGCCGTTGTTCTTCTTATGAAAGCATTTAGTTATTTTATGATTGTTCTTATTGCAAATTAAACAGAGATTTGATTGTTGTGTTTTGTTTTCGAGATAATCTTTTCGATTGTATTGAAGAATTAAATGATTATTTTGTTTGGGATATGTTCGATTATTTGTTGATGTTGATTGGTGTTGATGCTGATTTTTATAATAATGACGTGACGTAAATGGTTATCGATTTGATGAGTGAATATTTGTTGCTGTTGGTTGAATTGTTGCTGTTGGTAATGTATGTTCAAAAAATGGTGGATTTTTTAGTTCATGATGTAGAACATTAATTTGTTATTGAATTCGTTTTTGTATATATTCTTCTTCTCTTACAACTTGCGACCATTGTTCTGGCTTTTTAATTTCTTTTTCATTACGAATTAAATGTTCTTTTAATGAATTTTTAACACCATTCTGTAATACCGTAATAACTTGTTGTTCAGTAATAAATTGTCGGTACTT